AAAAAATTGAGCAACAAAAACATGTTGCTGGAGACGGGATTATTGAAAATGCAAACTGATTTTCTGCCAGCAGGAGGCGCTTTGAGAGCGGCAGAAACATCGGTTTCTCCAGTAATGGCTGTAATCAAAGCAGCTCCGCTCATGAACGCTACTTTATCAGATCAAATGAAAATGTCATCGAAACTTTTCTGAAGATAGTCGGTTCCCTTCAGAGATACATTTATATAAAACACCCGCTCCGCGTTTTAAGTCAATGTATCAAACGCCACAAATAAATCAATATATGGGAAACACTGGTAATCGAAATATCGGAAATGTGTTTACAAATCATATTACCGTTATTGAAAAAAAATTATATCGCGATACATATTGATATTGAATTATTGTCCAGCTCTATGTTACCAGATTTTTTTCTTTTGTTTAGTAGCCTATAATTTGGCCAAAATCTAGAAAAGATGATGCTGTATTGGCTGTGACTAAGCGCAGCGGGGTAAGATCTCTCTTTTTTTTCTTTTTTGAGTAAAAACGCTCTACTTATTATTATTAGGCAATTTGTAATTATTATTATTATTATTATTATTATAGGCAAACAAAGTTTTAAAAATAATGTTATTAACCGTTATTTTTTCTTGGCAAACCGGTTTCGGAACGATAATAATACAGAAGAACGCAGGAACAGAAACGTTGAAATATCGATTTGCTCGGAGTGAACAGACTGGATTTTTTTTTTTTTTTCGTTTTCAAGCCCTGCCTCAGAGTGAAAAGATCTCAAAATCATACAGTCAATGTTCGAAAGGGTTCAGATATGCAGAAGATGCTGGAAAACCAAAGAATGTGCAGGAGCTGGAGGATTTTTCAGAAGAACAACAGGCAGTTAAACTGCTCAGGGCCAACAAGGGACCCATGAACAACTATCAAAAACAGTCGTGGATCATCCAGGAAATGACACAGTATTATCATTCAAGGGTATGTAAACTTTTGAATGGGGTCATTTTTATAAATTCAGTTATTATTTTGTCTTGTGGAATATATATAAACATCCGTTATGTGAAATAGCTTATTCAAGACAGTACTGAATAAAAAAAATAACATGCAATTTTCATGATCCCTCTTATTTTGTGTAAATTATTAACATTTAGCATATTCTGCAAGGGGTATGTAAACTTATGAGCACAACTGTATACCGCCATACTGCTCAGCCCTAAGTCACATTACATCTACAGACAGAGGCGTAGCCAGTGGACGGGACTGACGGTCCGTTTATTATACAAATAGGCCTATTTGTTAATTAATTGTCGTTTAATCTATTTTATCACAATTACAACACTATTATAATATCTCAAATACTAAAATAAGTTAAATGTGTTTTTGCATAATTCTTGATGAGTTTGATTGACAGCTGTGTTAGGCAATTAGGTGTTATCCAGGCTGTCTCAGGCATGACGCAAATGTGAATCACTCATGCAGTTAGCCTATAATTTGCAGTTGTGTGTTAGAAAATGCAGCAAAGCATAATTCTGTAAAAAGGACGCAGGTGAAAGAACCTGTCTATCAACCCACAAGTAACGGTAAGACTTTTCAGTTCCAAGCGCAGGCTGATCGGGTTCATTATGTAAGGCTGAGAACACAGATCAGGCTGCGAATTGGTGGGTTTTTGTTAAATGCGAGCCAAAATCATCACAATTAAAAGAACCAAAGACTTAAACTTTGAGGTGTTCCTGCTAATGTTGTGTGTGTTGATTTTTTTTATATCACAGACAATCATCTGACATTGAATCGAGTGAAGACTGGGTGTGAGTAGTCCAGGTGAGGTCCTCGGTGATGTGAACGCCAAGGAACTTGAAGCTGCTGACCCGCTCCAATGGAGTCCCCCATCGATGGTGATGGGGGAGTGCTCACTGGTCCGTCTCCTGAAATCCACCACCAGCTCCTTGGTCTTCTTGATGTTCAGAGAGAGATTGTTGTTGTAGCACCTGTTAGTCAGTTAGTGCACACCTCTTCTCTGTGTGTGGGTGTGTTTTATGTGTTTGTGTTTGAGGTGTTCTTGCTAACTTCTGTCATGTGTGTGTGTGCGTGTTATATGTGTTTGTGATTTGAGGTGTTCCTACTAACTAATGTTGTGTGTGTTGCTTTTTTTTTTTATATCACAGACAATCATCTGACATTGAATCGAGTGAAGTCTGGGAGCCAGTCAGCAAAAAGCCATATATTGAGGGACATGATGACAGCACCTCTGAAAAAACCCCACTACATAATGTATTTATGCCTCAGTTACTATGTGTTAGCAATTATTGACAGTGAATCTGGATAAGAAATTGAATAGGTCTAAGTGTAAGCTTTCATTAGAGCCCAAAATTATGACTGTACATTAAAGCATTCAAGAATTGCAGCATTTTATGTGTCGTTGGTTACAAAGGGTCATTTGGAGTCTCCAAGTGGCTTTGTTTGGGAAGCGCCTAGACATAAATTTAGATAAACATGTGTAAAACACTCATTTTCTAAGGTATTGTTATCAAATTTGAAACATTTTGCTTGGTAAGACTTTATTCTGTGATCCAAATGTATTTTCCAGCTAATAGCTCCCAGCTATAGTCATCTGCAGGCATCTGTTTACAAAAAAAATGTAGGCTGATTTTTTATTTTATTTTTCAGTGTGTTCAAAGTTCTATTACTCAATACCAATAAGACTTACAGTGATTCTGACTGTTGAGGAACACACCTCAGAGTGTCACCATTCAAAAGAGACCAAAACCATGTATGTACTCCAAATGGTTCAAGAACAGCATGCAATTTACTTTGGGTATGCCTTTTTTAGGCGTTTTAGGCAAATTTTACAGGAATGCTAATTATATTTAATATATTTGAAAAAATATGATGAGGAAATACAGTGCCCTGAATAGGCTATCTTTGTACATTTACTGTAGAATGATGAAATTAAAATTAAAATATACAAATAACATTTTAAATGACTTCTGTCGGAATAAATAAAGCGGTATTTAACTTTCGTTCTGGTACTCAGGTTTTGTATGTGGACAGGTTGTAGCTACAGTTCTCTTGTATGTCAATATTCTATGACTTAAAGTGCCCCTATTATGGATTTTTGAAAATTACATTTCATGCAATGTGTAATGCAGCTGTAACGTAATGTCAAGAAGATGCTGTGCTCTGCGCTGTGAAAGCGAATTCGGTTTAGTTTCATTTCCAAAGGATGAGGCTGTGAAGAATCAGTGGTTAAAATGAATCTTTATTACAATACCACTGCAGAATAATCACAACTTTTTGCTGTGTTGAACTCCAATCTCCGCGAGTTCAATGCGGGATTCGTAAACCGGTTGTCTTTGAAAGATTGGTCAGTGCCCAGTTTGTTTGAAACGGTTTGCTCCTACGAATCACAACCTGTAAGTAGGATTAATAATAGTTACTTTGATGTTCAACTTACAGTGCAGCTGTAAATCTCTGGCTAACTCATGTTGTAGTTCTGCTAATCTGCTGTGGGCCTGCTATTGTCAAGAAATGTGTAGATTAATACAGAATGTCTGTTTTACTTGGAGTTATAATAAAGGATGGAGCAATACGTTGGTTTAGAAACTGCAGTGCTTTATCGTTTGAGAGTCATTGAGAAATAAAGTTAAATTAAATGCATATAAGAAAATGAAAGTGTTTTTTGACCTTGTATGCATGTAAACCTGTTGTTGGGGACTCCCAAAACCAAATTATAAACATTTCAAACAGCATAATAGGGGCACTTTAAGTGACAGCTGATACAAGTTCACATCTGTGTTAGTTGAGCAGAAGTGCATTAGTGACCTGGTGTGAGAGAGTCTTTCTACACAGCTTCTATCTTTATAGTTCGATTGGCATTTTGTAATCTGCAACAGTATTTAGGGATTGGGGCTATTGTCAATGATTTTGATATGTTGACAATAGGCACATTCATGATGGAGATGGAGACGTGGTAGTTTGTGTCTTCCACTGTGTTCTATGGTTTATTTTTCAATAGGATCAAAGAAAAGAAGATTGAAATGACCTGAATATTGAGTCCGACTCTGTCCGTTAGTTACTAGTGCCCGCTCACTTTTGCCCAGGCCCAACCAAAAATAAAATTCAGCCTACTCCACTGTCTACAGATCAGCTGATCGGTCACATGCGCCCAGCGGTCCTGCTCCAGCCTACCAACAGACATGATCAGCAATGATATCAGGTGCGTTCGACTTGAAGCACGGCTACAGACGGCAGTCAACGAGAGTAGCCGCTTGCAGTCGGGGGCGGAGTTGGGAGCCGTCAAGCCAGATATGTGACGCTCGCGCGGTGTTTGCATACTCTATCACAGATGAAGTGAATTAAATGCAATTATTTGTCATATATACAGACGTTTCAGAAACGTTTTCATGAGCAACAGATATATACTGATTATATATGTCTTAACACATCGCCATCTATACAAGAAATAAGGATATCAGGGCTGTTATTAGCAGTGGCGGCTCGTCGGGGGAGGCAGGTAATTCGTTACCTCCACCACTGGTGTGCAGTATGCAGTATGATCAGAGACTGTGAGAAAAATGACAGAATGTGATCTGGACTGAACTATTGCTGTAAGCTCGCTTATTATTCTGATAATGTGACGCAGATCTGCTGCTCACGTTTCCTCACCAGCGCCTCTATACGCGTCCAAACAACACAAATTAAAGCAAAAACACACAAATTAAAGCAAATGCAGGATGAAGCAGTAACACTAACACGTTTAGTTATCGAAAGACGACATAAAAGCAGCACATAATGGTGAATAAAAGGACAAAAGTGAAACAAACACGCAGTTTATAGAGAATCAGACTGACTAAAATACACCAAACTGACTGATATAACTACTTTGAGCCAGAGTCAGTCAGACGCGAGCGACAGTTTGAGGTAAGTCTGTAAGATTCGCGCTGGATAGCGTCATATCTTCATGTTCAAACTAGATGATGTATAATGATAACTTTGGCTGAGTTATAATGGCTTACCCATCAGTAGAGTCCAGCAGACACCTGCAGCGAAACACCGTTTGACCATCATGCCCCAGTCTGTCTGTACTGACGTCCGTCAGGAAAAGCGTCAAACGCCGAGCGCTGAACACTACGTACTAAACCTTGCGTACTGAAGACGATCAGCGCGTATATGTGCGTTTATATGAGTGTCTGTCAGTTATAAACGGAGTTACGATGTTTGTTCAGAGTCTGGCAGCAGATTCATTGTCATGAGGCAGAATGTTCCAGTCATGTGATGTGATCTTTTTAGCCCCGCCCACACCAGTCACGTGAGGGGCGCGAACTGCGTATGACTTTATAACCGCTGACAGGATTGCATGGCTACATTCACTATAACTGTGTTTATTGGCAGTTTAAACTGTTAAATAGTTATTAATTAAATGCTCATTTTTAAATTAAATGTTAGTATAAGCGTTATTTATTAACAATGCTGTTAAAGCTACAGGGATACATATAGATGTCACTTAAACGCTTTATTTCAGACATTCTATATTTAGTAATGTACCTGTATGTTCATATTTATGTAAAAAGAGTCTACAGCTGATTGCTTGCTGTTAATAAAAAATTACTCAAGAAATTATATTAAAATTATTTTAGAATGTAATTTTATTTTATAAAATATAATTTATAAAAAAAATATTTGATATTATATATTTTTAATGCATATATTTATACATTAAACGGTAAAATTAGATGCAGTTATGATTTGAAACTGTCTAAAGTGACATCTATGTATGTAGTCAAACCTAGTACTTGGGTTTGATTCCCCGGGAATGTATGAACTAGTAAAATGTATATCTATAATCCAGTGTAAGTCACTTTAAATAAAAGCATCTGTCAAATGCATGAATGTACATGCATTCGAGGAAGCATCTGGGACAAGAGGAAGTCGTGGTTTGACCTCTTACCTCAGATGAGCACTGGTCATTCTCCAAGAAACTACAGGCACACTTTCTCATCTCAAACTCAGCATAACTCCTCTACTAGATCTCAGGCTCAGCATGTGTCAGAGTGAGTCACAGCACTGTCCTGCAATCAGACAACACACATGACATGCATCTGATCCAGACTAAAGCTCTGATGAACGCTGGAGTTAAACTGTGTGCATTGTGTCAGTACTGAATGCACTGGTGAGGTATTTCAGAGCAAACAAACTAAGCGCAGGTTAGAGGTCAGTGAGCGCAGTGAAGCGTGTGTTTGGTTCTGTGTGCCTCTGTCTGCTGTCTCCTGCTCTTGGCCGCTCAGGGCCGTAATTTGTTTCTTTAAGGAATTACTCCGTGAATGAGGCAGGAAATCACATTAGTCCGAGAGTGTTTGTGTTTGCGGGAGGAGAATCCAGACTGACGGCTTCCCTCAACATTCAGATACAGAACAGCAACAAAACAGAAATACGCTCATATTTCACCACTATACCAAACAGATAAATAACTGTCTTTTGCATAAAGTTAGTGAAGACTATCTTAAGACCTAGAAGACTTTTGTTGCATTGAGACATTAGTTTCATAGCAATTGCTTTAAAACTTCTTGTGATGTAATGAAACAGATATCTCTGAATGCTTGTTTCCACCACAGAAAAATAATAATAATAAAAAGGAAATTGCGACTTTTTATCTCACAATTTATATTTAGAGTTTATATCTCACAATTTGGACTGTTTTCTCAGAATTGCAGTTTACAATTTAGTTGTTTTTATTACTACCACAGAATTAAAAAAAAAAAAAATTAAAAAGGGGATTGAAACTTTTTGGTCTTACACATCTTTTTTTCCACACAATTCTGAGTTTATATCACACAATTTAAATCTCAGATTTACAAGAAAAACAAATATGAATTGTGAGATTGTCACAATTACCTTTTTTATTCGATATAAGCTTACATAGTGATCACATTCTCATTACTGTAATAAAAAATTATGGTAATTTGTACAGATTTGTATGTACTATTCGTATTTTTTTGTTCTAAGAATTTGTTGTTAAATGTCATAAAAATATAAAATAAAAATGTCAATGTGCAAATCATAAAAATAAGCTTCTTTATGAAAAATATAATTTAAATTGATACATTTAGCAGATGCTTCCAAAGTGACTTACAATAGAGGAACAAAAGCAATTCATCACAGAGCTAACAATATTCATGCAGTTTTTGGGGGGGGGGGGG